AGATCAAGGTTTGTCCAGTGATTGAGACTAGCTCTTTCTAAGGGGCCCAACTGAGTAGGTTAAACCTTCCCTATACACCTGAAGACGGAGACAGATCCAGTCTCCGAAACGTTGTGGTTTTTTGTCTTTTTATATACCGGACGATGGGTGAAGTCCAAAATAAGCCAAAAGAAGTACAATTTTTTTACTGATTGATTCACTCGCTTCGTGGGGCAGACTGCTGCTTGTGAGACTACTGGTCTATGTAGTAGTTAGGGGCTTCATGTGGCTGTGTTACACAGTAAGAAAGGTTACACGGGATGCGAGGTTCTCATGGTCATGAGTTTTAAGATGTGCCACCGTGTGCTTTGGTACATACGTTACCACATTAAAAAGGGAAACTTGCATCCTCTTTCTTCAGGATGGGCGATACAGGCAGCTGGTGTATGTTTGCAAAACTAGACGGTGTCATATCCCACAAGATCTTTATCTTAAAAGTAACAGTCGCTCACCAAGCCCCTCCTTTTTTTTTATAGAACACGAAGGTTCATTACCATGTTCACAAGAGCTTATCACTACCTGTGCCGGATTAATCCAGTCCATAACCTCACATCTTCATTAAGATCCATTTTAATACTGAAGAGTTGTTTTTTTCTGCTCTGCTTTTTGCCTATTTCATGCTGATTTCTTGCTTGGCCTACGCTGTAATGCTAAAGATGGAGATGGCATGTTGCTCCGAACGTCCGTTGACTTTCAACGGACTACACAACACTGTATCCCAGAAAAGAGAAGTCTTTGCAAGCACCTCTATGAGAACATCAGACCAGTATCTCAATATTATTCTCCAACTATGCCTAAGTCTTCAGAAAGAAATTTATGGGAACATAACTGAACGGAACTTGAAACAAAGCACGGCTAGCAACGGTGATTCAGCAGAGTCGGCTTTGTCGCTACTCGCGCGTCCTCTCTTAGCCAGAGGCTGAACTGCGTGCTCTTGAAAGTGTATTCATAGCCCTACCTCAACGTTGGGATTGAACTAGCAGAGAACCTTTCAACAGAAATGACACTGTTGTAGTAACACAAGACAAGTACGTGATCTCCTTCCTGTCTGTAAGCCTGTGAATCCCGTCCACTTACCAACCTTTGAATGACTGAACCAATCTGTATGATCATGGCTCCTGAGCTCATCAGAACGGCATACTTCATAAATCCCTCCCATCAGTCTTTGTGTTTATATGTGTTAACCTATCGTTGCTAGGCAACGGCTCGGTAAAGAAACCTTACCGCGGCAACTAATACACACGCAACAATAGAACAATTGTTGGTCGCGTCGTTTTCTACGCGGTCCGTGTCGTATCAAAGGAAAGTAGGCCATTAGTTCTTCCCAGAACTTTTTGTCTTTTCTACATTTATCTCTTTTTCTTTCTTCCGCCACATTTCTTTCTCTGTATGTACTCGTTCATCTCATTTTTCTTCTTCCTAGTTACAGCTGTGTGTCTATACTTCCATGTCGATGTTCAAGTTTGCTTCCTTCTACTTGTTTGTGGTTTATTTTCCGATGCTGTGAGTGTCTGTATAGCGTCGAATGGTTTAATGATAAATGAAGGAGTTGAAAGGATTTGGAAAGAGGCGGTCCTGATGTAGTCGAGGTCGTCGAGGTGATGCCCCGGAATTTGCTGGGATGGACTCCCAGAAGTCAACGAAAAACCTGACTCATGATTTCCTGTTCCCGGGCGAGGTTGCAAATGAACACCTTAGAATAAAAAAAAAAAACTCCGTGGTTTTAGTCCGCAAGCGAAGTATACACACCTCGAAATACAAATTTAAAAATGTTACCGCTATACCACCCTCTTCGATTCCTCGTCAATTATGTACCAGGCGGGATGGCGTCACATCTCGGAATACACGAATATTCAAGCCGCAATATATTGCTGTATTTATTTGAGATCTGTTCGCTCTCAGGTGGTATAAAAATTGCGGCCCTTTCGGATATGGCGCCGTGTTGTTTCGGAGAAACCTTTGTACCAGACTACATGATGTCACACCTTTTTCGAGAAGAACAAAATGTCCAGGCAGATACGGTGCTGATGGCACAGAAGAAGAGGAGCATACAAAATTTTGGTATGAGAACCTGCAGAAAAGCGACCACTGGGAAGTTCTAGGCGTAGATAGGAATATAATATTATTCTTAATGAAATAGGATCGAGAGGTGGACTGGAACAAGTGGAAGGTTTTTGAGAACACGATAAGAAACCTTAACAAACAAACAAGCAAACAAATTCCGTGACTTTAGTCCGCAAGCGAACTATACCGACCGGTCGGTATAAAAGAACCTTAGGGTTCCGATAATGCTGAGATTTTCCTGTTGGATAATTGAGCTAAGATTAACTTCTCAAGGACGCTCCACTGTTTAGTTAGTCAGTTCCCTAATTAGTTGTGTAGATATATTTTACAAAGCTTTCAGCAGCCGAGATTATATAACTTCGAATGATAGGTTGACTGGTGAATAATGAACGGGAACGTATTTGTAAGGAAAGGCCCCCGTATGAGGTAACTGAGAAACCGGGAGAACGTCAGTCGGGCCGATATGTGAACCTCGGATCTCCGGAATACAAAGCGTGACGTTCTGTATGACGTCATTAAGGTCCAGGACCGTTGTGTCGCCGCACCAGGACTGCCACTAGAGTTGAGTGCAACGGTCTGTCAGCATTCCCCGCAGCCGCATTCCTTTCACATGCAGTTACCTGCTCGCGCGTGTGCTGCCAAAAGAGTTACAGTTTAGTTCTTGTTTATATGAGCTTCTATATTTATTATTATTATTTTACTGCAATTGGGTTTCACCCGGTGGCAGTAGAACTTACACTGATACAGACAAGGAGAGCCTATAACATAAGGGAACAATATAAAACGAATTTGCGTTGTTTGCGCAAAGTGTACTATGGCATCCATGGGGCTCTCGGTTCATTTCCGGAGCTACTCTGCTAATTCAGCTTAGCAAATGTAGTGACCAGGTTACAGGATGGAAGACCGAGGAATGGGGGTTCGATTTCCGCCAGGGTCGCCGATGATTCTCTTCTCCACAACGTCCAGACCGATTCCGTAGCCAACCCAGCCTCCCCTCTCCAGTGGGTAAAGATATCAAGGGCGTGAAGCTGACTACTCAACTCCATCTAGTGTCGAGGTCAAGGACGGTGGAGCTATACCTACACTCCCCGATACGCCTTCGTGACGTGGTGCTTAATTAATTAAGCACACGGATAATATCATTGGTCCAGTATAGACCTCACTCTACATACGGCTGACGTACGTTGATAACGATTTTATTTCTGCTGATGTTACTATGTATGCATGTGAAGTAAACACCGCAACTCATTTCCTGAAATGTGTGTTAATTTAAAATGTTTCTAACGCTCGCCACCAGTTTACTTGCGTACGTAACATATACAAGTGACGTCAGTATTGTTCGCAGTGTTGCCATGGTGACCATGACTGGAAACTACATTCAACAGGTCTTTGCAGTTTCCATGTAGTTTTAAACTTGTTTTGTAATCATCCTGTAATCCTGGCCTTGAGTTAGTACAGAATTGGAGTAAAATACGTTGCAGATATTTTCTTGGCAAAGTTAGCTTCCGTGAACTTGACTTGGATCCTAAAATAAAGATCCCCACTCCAGAAACCTAAATATATTTTGGATTTGACCCAAAAACATTTTGGATTTGAGGTTCTCACACCGATGACTGTTAAGTATGACATATATTGTGGGTTGTGAAGGTATGTAGTCTGGCACAAGTTCACCGACGTTTCGGAGGATCGTTCTGCCTCTGTCCTCACGATCGAAGATACACTAAGCAAACGACGAATAAGAATCAAGCCGAGTCGTATACGTTGCTTACTTAACATATAATTGCCGTGAAGATGGAGGCAGTACATGTCTCCAAAAGTCGGTGAACTTGTGACGGACTGTACGGTGTCACATCCCAGAAGTCAGTACTCTCGAAACGTATTTGTCGACAGTAATTTCGTTAGAAACACGCAATACCGGGGGTACGCGGTAGCGTAGTTGGTTGAGGAGCTATGCTGCAAGTCGGAAGGTCGCGGGTTCAATTCCCGATGAGGTCATTGGATTTTTTCAATTGACCTAAACCTTCCAGCCGCACTATGGCCCTGGGGTCGATTCAGCCTCTAACAGAAATGAGTACCAGGACTCTTCCTGGGGGTAAGGGGAGGCCGGTGCGTAAGGCTGACAACCTCACCGCCATCTGTGAGCCAGTTCTCTAGAAATTCGGGAGTCTCGACGTCTCACAACCCTGTGGGCCTCCACGGCCTGTTACAGGGCCAACTTTACCTTTTTACACATAATCTCGAGCGACGTTCGGCGGTGAGAAATGTAACCATCCTCAGTGTGTCAAGCCGCAGATTCTGATTTTCACTGTATAGCAGAGATACTCGTATTTGAGGTTCCCACAGCTGTAAAGATCCAAGTACGTTCCTCTAATTCCATAAAAAAGTGAAGGTAAAATTTATCCCACTGATCACAGGTGCCGCGCGGTCCAAGGCATGCACCGTGTTCTCCCGCTCTAAAACTGGGGTCATGGGTTAGAATCCCACTGGAGGCATGGATGTCTGTGTGACTTTATTCTGTGTATAGGCAGAGGTCTTGCGACGGGCTGATCCCCCGTCCAAGGAGTCTTACCGGCTGTGTATAGGATCAAGAAACTGAAAACGTCCAAGGTCCAACAAGGTCTGCAAAGCCATAGATAGATTAAACGTGTCCCTGTGCTTAATTAATTAAACACTACGACATGAAGCCGTATGGGGGGGATGGAGATGTAGCTCCACCATTCATGACTTTTGCATTAGATGAAAGTGAGTGGCAGCTTCACGCCCCGGTACCCCATTGGTGGGCCCCAGACCGCATTATGGCCATTATTGCTTGTGCCACTCTGTTGACAGCTGCACTGGGTTTGTGACGACAGCTGGAAGCCCGCAGTGGCACAGTCTATGTTCTTCGTGGGCTCTGTGCTGGGCTCACTGGGGCTGGGAGTGATGTCGGATCACGTCGGCCGCCTGCCGGTCCTCATCCTGGCCAACATGCTGGCCCTCGCGGGCAACGTGGCCACAGTGTTCACCTCAGGACTGCCAGAGTTCGCTTTCTGCAGGATGGTCACCGGTCTGGCCACAGACAATAACTTCGTAATGATGTACATCATAGGTGAGTGACCAACAGGTGCAGTTTTTCTTTGTTCTTTCCGTATTCGGGAAGCCCGAGTTCATATCCAGACTGAGGCTTTTGAACCACTCGAAACAAATACCGCTTTCTGCCACGCCCTACACACGGATAATCCTATCATCCGACATTATATAATTTGAATTATTGATAGCCTCCTTAAAGAAGCCAAGCATACAGTGATATTAATTTCTTTCCCTCTTTCCCAATGATTTCTGTCCTTATTTGTCCTCTTCTTTCTCCTGTTGTCTCTTGCTGTTTCTTTCTCGCTCCTTCCTTCATTTCCTTTCTCCATTCCTCCGTCTGTTTTTATTCCTCTTCCCTCATAGCTCAGTCGGTAGAGCGACGAGCTAATGGATGGACGATCGGGATTCGATTCCCGGCAGGAATAAGAGATTTTCCCCTGCTCCGCAACGTCCAGACTGGCTCAGGGGCCCACTGAGCCTCCTATCCAATGGGTACCGGGCAGGTAAAGCGGCAGGAGCGTGAAGCTAACCATTCACCTTCATATAGTATCGATGTCAAGAATGGTGGAGCTATACCTCCATTCTTCCATACATCTTCATGGAGTGGCGGTTAATTAACTAAGAACATGGTCATATTTCACCTTTTTCAGTTGATAGCATTTAGCGAGGAGTGGTAATGTTTGTTGTGTTGTCAGTACTGGAGTACATGCGGCCAGACAGACGGACGCTGGGGCTGAACCTGTGTATCGGTGTGTTTCACACGCTGGCGTGTATCGCCGTGCCTTGGGTGGCGATCTGGGCGGGTTACTGGCGATTATTTCTGCTGATGATCACATTGCCCAATATAGTGGTCCCTGGGTTCTATTTCTGCGTCCCTGAGAGTGCCAGCTGGCTGCTTAGCAAGGGACGCGTACAGCAGGCCCTTAAATGCTTCAGACGTGTAGCAGCTTTCAACGGAAGGACGCTGCCCCCGGAAGTCATCCAGACATTCGAGGTAACATACCCAATGGCATATAATGACGAGTTTACTCGTCGTTGAGATATTGTAGTAAAGGACAAGTAGTAGAGGGAGTAATACATGTACAGCAACTTTCGTTTCCTGCTGGTTGCTTTCTTCTCTTCCTTAGTGAGTTCCTCCGAAAAGTGCATTTCTACTAGACCAGACGGCCTCACATCCCACTACCGTGAGAGACCTTTCTGTTTTACATTCCTGTAGTTTTAGTGTTGCGACGGCGCTCCAAGCCTCACCGCAGGAATCACCAGTAATCAAAACCGTAAATGCAGAACCAACAAATTACTTCGTACACATGGACGCACTCTTTTGTACTCTGTTGTTCGAAATATTTGCCAAGATGCGTACTTAGGTCTTCACGCAGTGTCAGTTACTGTTGTTCGATTTTAACGAAAAATTGTAGGGTGTCAACACATCTTAATAAAACTCTCCAATATCAGGTTTCATAAAAGCCGTTTTCAGCGGTCCCCGAGTCGTTACAGATGGACAGATACATGAAGAAGCTATTAGATCAAATTTAGCAAAATTCCGTTGAGAAGGTTACGTCTCTAATATGGACGAATTTCGCTAGTGTAGGCCCATTGAAAATCCAACGGAAGTGTTCATTTTATAAAATTTATACTGTCTTCTTTTCCCACATACCCACTCACTGATATGATGGACATCATCATTTTCTGAACATGAAATTGCTCTGTTAATGAAATATGTGGAATCAATTACAGACTCTTTCTGTGGCGTTTTCATAATTAGCAATGCAGTGTCCATAACTTATTTCTGAATAGCAGTGCTGTTATAGCTAGTATGAACCACATCGCCCATTTAAGCTTTATTACTGCTTATAAGGAATTCAGTTCTAAGTTTTTATATGTGTTCTGTTCTGCTTTCCTTATTTTGAAAAGATGAAAGTAGGCCTATGGCGTCGTCTTGCTTTCAAATTAACTTTTGAATGCCAGACCCAATCATTATGACACTTAGTTTCTCCGGAACCAGCCTACAACAAAAATTATTCCTGTATTAATATTTTCAGTTTCCCGTTTATTTCAACTGGCATCTCTCTAGTAGATAACGCACACGGTAGCGTAGTTGGTTGAGGCACTATGCTACAAGCCGGATGGTCGCGGGTTCGAGTCCCAATGAGGTGGATTTTTTCAATTGACCTAAACCTTCCAGCCGCACTATGGCCCTGGGGTCGACTCAGCCTCTAACAGAAATGAGTACCAGGAATATTCTTGGGGGTAAAGAGCGGCCGGCGCGTAAGTCTGACAGACTTCACCACCTGTCTTCACCTGATTGTCTAGATAATGTGGGAGCCTCGACATCTCACGATTTTCACGGCGTGTGTAATAGAGATCTCTTCTCAGATGAACGTTCTGGCAACCAACATACAAATGAACTCTGCTTGTCCTGTTACTTGGTTACGATGTTCACTGTGAACTACAATTAAAGACAGTGGGTGAATCTGCCCGTTTCCCATATGTAGAGTGGCCAGGCGCGTATACATTCTCTTATCTGCTTCCGTGAATTTGTCTGTGTGACTGTCTATCTGTTTGGAAAATGGGAAAACCTTCCTGGAAGGCGGTCTGCCAGTGTTGGTGCATCTTACACAGCAGAATAGCCACACCGAGCCGACTGCACCAGTGGAGTAAGCGCGATACCTAGAGCGAGAGACTCTTCAGAACACCTATTATTAGATTGCCCTTGAGCCAGAACCATCTGGAAATGTTTAGATGGAACACGCAAGCAGTTACTTGGATTCCACTTTAACGAAGAAATCGCTCTTCTTTGGCTGCCCCCGCACTGAACACTGCAGCACACCAACTTACTGTCTGCAAGAGACAACGCACAGAAGCACACAGCAGGCGACTGTCAGTTCCGTGTATACAGAGACTATCAACCCAGTAAGGTCGCACCATAGCTCAAGCGGTTAGTCGCTGGCTTCCCACCGCGGCGGCCCGGGTTCGATCCCGGGTCTGGTCAAGTGGGATTTGTGGTCGACAAAGTGGCGCTGGGGCAGGTTTTCTCCGAGTACTTCGGCTTCCCCTGCCAATCTTCATTCTACCAATTGCTCTACAATCACCCTCACCTATCATCTGGGGCTCGTAAAATAGGCCAGAAGCGGCCGCAGTGCAAGGGACTTAGTCCCACCCAACTAGTAATAAAAATAAAAATAATAATCAACACAGTACAGGGAATATTGATATGGAGCAGTCAACATTAACTGCCTGTACAAACACTCGGAAAGACAGAGAGGACAGGTCGTGACAAGATTTAAGGACTACATTCTCATGTGCTCACATCGCTGTCTCAGCTGCAAACTGTGTGACACTTCATATGCTCTGTAAATTTTATCTTAGTGTTAATAGATCTATAAAAATCTAACCGCCCACTGACCTACCAACCTACCTACCCACCCAGCCACCCACTGACCTACCTTCCCACCCACCTTCTATGCACCCACACATCCACCGACTACTTAGCTATACCTACTCACCTACCTACCTAGCCACTCACCCACCCACCGACCTACCTACCTACATCATTCTGCACCTCACGATTGTACAGAAGTTGTCTCTTGTCTGTGCTATACTTGATATACACAGCGTTTCGGAAACTGAATCGGGGGGGGGGGCGAGGGGAAGGAACCTGCTCAGTTGGGCCCGTTAGAGAGAGCGAGTCTCGATCTCTGGTTCAGTGACGACGTCTTCGCCTCTTCTGATTGCAGAGGTCGGCCAAACTGAGTGTTCCGCAGGGAACGGGAAACCTGTTGGGCCTCTTCAGGACGCCGCGCCTCAGAAGGAAAACCTGCATCCTCATCTTCAAATCGTAACGTATAGACATTTATATTCTTACCTCGCAACAAGACTGTGTGGTATTAACGTTCATGGCCGTACACAAAAATGCCCGCCATTGGACTTCCTTAAGTTAGTACAGTTCAGTAGAACATCATATTTCCTTAGATACATTTTAATATTACCCTCCTAGCACCCAGTTAGTACATTTCAAAGTTTTTGCGCAGAAATGTTCGCATTTCACGTCTTCTCCCATATGAGCAACATATTCAGATGTATCATTGACTTTACTACTGCCCTGACACTACGCAGTGATCTGCATAAATCACCAAGTTCGTCGGCATGTAATTTTTGGCATTTGCAGTTCGATTAATTCCCCTTAAGTCCAAAGTTTCCACACACTTAGTCATTTATGTTCTCATACAGAAACACAACTCAGTTCACACCCATGCAGAACATCTCACGAAAATATTAGTGTAATATATACATCTCAAGCATATCATAAAAATATAAATTAAATCCTAGATACAGTTAAAAGAATTCATTCTTGAAATAGTATGGAAGATATTCTCCAAATTGTGATATTGTTTCACACGTTTGCAACTTAATGGGGAATGCGCTGAACACCCGGTATGTACGCAGGTTCCCCAAACTCTGAGATTGTTTCACATGTTTACAATTTAGAGGGGAATGCGCTGAACACCCGGTATGTACGCAGGTTCCCCAAACTCTGAGATTGTTTCACACGTTTACAATTTAGAGGGGAATGCGCTGAACACCCGGTATGTACGCAGGTTCCCCAAACTCTGAGATTGTTTCACACGTTTACAATTTAGAGGGGAATGCGCTGAACACCCGGTATGTACGCAGGTTCCCCAAACTCTGAGATTGTTTCACACGTTTACAATTTAGAGGGGAATGCGCTGAACACCCGGTATGTACGCAGGTTCCCCAAACTCTGAGATTGTTTCACACGTTTACAATTTAGAGGGGAATGCGCTGAACACCCGGTATGTACGCAGGTTCCCCAAACTCTGAGATTGTTTCACACGTTTACAATTTAGAGGGGAATGCGCTGAACACCCGGTATGTACGCAGGTTCCCCAAACTCTGAGATTGTTTCACACGTTTACAATTTAGAGGGGAATGCGCTGAACACCCGGTATGTACGCAGGTTCCCCAAACTCTGAGATTGTTTCACACGTTTACAATTTAGAGGGGAATGCGCTGAACACCCGGTATGTACGCAGGTTCCCCAAACTCTGAGATTGTTTCACACGTTTACAATTTAGAGGGGAATGCGCTGAACACCCGGTATGTACGCAGGATGGTGCTGACGCTGTGTTTCGACGCTATCTCCCGCAACGTGGATGGGCTGGGCTACAGTCCGTTTGTCATGTTCAGTATGACCTCGTTGACCAAGTTCCCCGCCTCGCTGGTGATCCTACTGCTACAAGACCGCTTGGGGCGGAAGGCCATGGCCAGCGGCTCTCTGCTCATGAGCGGCGTGTTCACCATCGCGTCGGGGCTCGTCATTGCCTTTGTGGGCGCTAAGAGCGGTAATTATCACCTGCTGTCTTACCACACATGTAACGGTATGTCACCAGGGGCGACGCCAGGCCATGGGCACAACGCGGCAGCAGGCCTAATAATAACCGTATCCTCCTCAATTGCTGCAAGGCGACACAAATGCAGAAGCACGCGGTATCGAGCCTGTTCGCTTCCCTTGCACAGACGAAGCCAAGAATCGCTGTGGTTTAAAACGACTGATTTCAAGCAAAACGTTGGAGGGCTGTTGAATGTGTGTGTGCCTCTCACTATATGTGCAAAAATGCTGAACGGATGTAGATTAAAATTGGTGTTGAGGGTCGTCATCATACAGAACATTAGAATGTGACATAAGATATGTGCCTCGTCGCTTTCTACAACTTCGGTTGTGGAGAGTTCTCTACGTTTTGAAAATTTACCCGGGATATAAGTAATTCCACGGAACTGAGCCCTTCTCGAGAAGCCGCCAATTGTGCATCTACTCAAGAATTTCCCAACATTTTATGGAACCCGAAGGTTCATTACCGTATTCACAAGAGCCCTCCGCTGGTCCCTATCCTGAACCAAATCAGCCCAGTCCATACCACCCCATACTATCTCTCTGTGATTCATTTTAATATTATCCTATCACCTGTGTCTAGATCTTACTGGTGGTGTCTTTCCATCTCGCTTTCCAACCAAAATTGTATATGTACTCCTGTCTTTTCCCATGCGTCCTACATGCCTTTCCTATCTCATCCTTCTTGACTTGATCATTCTAATTATACTTGGCGTGCCTACTCCATCACAGCAATAAAATAATTTCTCACTGTGTAGTGAACACAGCGGATTCGTGTCTCTCAATAAATGGATATCTGTACCAATTAAGCACACAGAACAGCAGGAAGCACATTTGGAAACAGGTGTGCTACAGCGGGGCACACATCTATATCTCAAGTTAAGAGTTCGTTTCTATGGTAACGTGTCTTGCGTCTAATCTGCAATCTTCTGTTCGCAGTTCCTATGGTGACCGCAGCTTTGGCTGTTGTTGGCCGGTTCGGGGTCAACATTGCCTATAGTTCAGGGGCACAGTACGCCGCAGAACTGATCCCTACCGAGGTTAGGGGTCAAGGAGTGTCAGCCATCCACATGGTGGGATATGCTGCAACCTTCTTCAGCTCCCATATCCTATACCTGGTCAGTATTCCGAAGTTCGGACCTTTTTCTTTTATTGCTAGTGGGGTGGGACTAAGTCCCTTGTACTGCGGCCACTTCTGGCCTATTGTACCAGCCCCAGATGATAGGTGAGGGTGATTGTGGAGCAATTGGTGGAATGAAGATTGGCAGGGGAAACCGAAGTACTCAGAGAAAACCTGCCCCAGCGCCACTTTGTCCACCACAAATCCCTCTTGACCAAACCGAGATCGAACCCGGGCCGCCGCGGTTGGAAGCCAGCGACTAACCGCTTGAGCTATGGCGCGGCCAAGTTCGGACCTTACCCTTTACTGATTTCATAGACTTCGATATTAGGTTCTCTTTCTACCATTGCAGCAACTGCTCGGTTTCATATCCATATAAAAGGTAAAGCTATTCCTGTAACAGGCCGTGAAGGCCCATAGGGTTGTGAGACGTCGAGGTTCCCACATTATCTAGACAGCTGGCTCACAGATGGTGATAAGTTTGTCAGCCTTACGTGCCGGCAGCCCTTTACCCCCAGGAAGATTCCTGGTACTCATTTCTGCTAGAGGCTGAGTCGCCCCCAGGGCCATAGTGCGGCTGGAAGGATTAGGTAAATTGAAAAATCCAGTGACCTCATCGGGAATCGAACTCGAGACCTTCCGGCTTGTAGCATAGTGCTTAAATAAAATTATGGTTTAAATTGGATGTAACGCACATATTAGGTTGTCCCTGTGTTTAAGCAACTACCGTGCCTTGAAGACGTGTGGGGGTAGCGGAGGTACGTATAGCTGTGTCCATTCTCAACATCGATATTAAAAGAAGGAGACTGGTCAGCTTCATGCCCTGGCCGCTTTAACCACGGAGAAAGGACCCACGTAATTCATTGGAGAGGAGGTTGGATAGACTCCAGCAATCTCTGCCTCTGCCAGGAATCGAACCCCGATTCCAGGATCATGAGGCTCGTAGCCTGATTATTGCAGGCCTACGGCTGAGTTCGTTGGGCCCAAATTTACACGTAGCCGTACAGACAACACATATATTTTGAATCTTGGAAATTATATAATTCTTGTATATAGCAGTGCTGCGCTTATCAAACATGGGGTTGTCCTGCTTCGTACAGGGTTCGATTCCCGACTCAGGCCGAATGTTGTATAGTAAACATCTTTAAATAGGCAAAAGCACAAAGAACACACAGTCCATTTGCGCTGGGTGCCATGTTGCAGTTAGACGCTGACCGGTCGTCATAGGATTTAGAATTCTGTCGCGCATTCCGTCAGATTTACAAAATTCTGTTTTCTAATTGATTTGACTAATTTGAAATTAATTACTGTAGCCAGCAGCGCATGCCACATTCATTAAAGCACTAATATTTGGATTGTACAAACTGAATATCTAATTTCTCTCATTAACGGTGTGTTAAATTAAATTGACATTTTCCCTGGTTGAGCAGGTTAGCTCAGTCAGTACAGTGATTAAGCTATGGGTGGGATAAGCGGAGCTTTGGGGTTCCACGCCACGTGGGGGTGAAGATTTAGCTGTTGTATACGTATCGCTTTATATATACAAGACTATCTTGTTGCTGTGAGTGATAGCTGAGGAATCAGCAGTCGAGCACCGACACGTTGCATCAGCATGTATATTACGAGGGAGAATCACTAAGTAGGTCACACATGGAAATAAAACCTAAACATGTTATATTCCAACCTGAAAAAAGAATTATTTCTCGACATGTCCTACACTAACATTGATACACATGTCCCATCGCTTTACCAGTGCGTCGAAACCCGCAGCATAGAAGTATTTTGACTTGTCTCAGCCACTTCCTCACCAAAGTTTCAACCTCTCCTTATCACCGAAATCTTTGCCAACCAGCTGTGAACCGCTTTATGCGACAGACAGTTCCCACCGTAAAGAGGAAAAATATCTTTATTAATATCCTTTGTGTTGAGTTCTTTTTCTCACAAGAAACGCACAACAGAACGCTGCTTTTCGGTAGGATACTCCTCAAGCACGGTCATCATTTTTACTACCGCAACCAGCCACCGAACATGCGCATGCGCGTCTTCTATCTGGACTGTGCTGCTACCTAGTGATACATATAGAGAATCTATTGCGTCCATTACAGCTGTTTCACTTCCATTTGTGACGTATTTACTGACTCTCCTTCGTAGGTATGACTTGAAACTCCGCTGGGAAATACATATTTGCAGAAGGGCCGTATTGAATGGGGTCTACACTTATTTTGTCTACCAAGACTACTGATAAGTCCTTCTCTTATATGGTCGACATCGTTAATTTTAAGGCATAAACTTTCTTTATTAATGCAGTGTGTAGAATTAGTTGCAGAAGTTCTGCTTCCTAGCTTTTATTAATTAGTAATGCAATGCGTTGTTCTTGATTGGAAACGGTGTAATAGCCTAAATATGCATGAATCACTTCACCCTTTATTACTACAAGCTTCCAAATGTTACCATTCTAAGTCCTCTGTATATTTCTTATAATAACAAGTGTTTTCACCCCTGAATTAGCCCATAACAAATACGATTCCTGCATTAACATTTTCAGTCTGTTACGCCGTGGTGACAGGGGGCGTGGAGGTATCCCACCGCTGCCACCGTATGTTATGGCGGGGGGGGGG